AGTTGCTTGCACGCACGGCACGCACGCACGCACAGTTGCTTTGCAGCGCAACCGCGACGCGCACGCCACAGTTGCTTGCGCACGCACGCACTGTATGCACACAAAAAACTTGCATGCCACGCACGCACAGTTGATATTATATTACTGCAATAGATTAAATAGAATTGAGTTCATCCATGAACAATACTGTGCTAGTACGTCCAATACAAAGTGAGTAATTTACCTCATGTATGCCTCCCTCTGATGCAACAGATCCTCCTGTCTTTGCTGCTCTGCCAGTGCATCTTGGAAGAAGGGCGAGTCTTCAATTCCCTCATGCACTAAGATATCAGTAAAATATAGTTTGCTCTCACATAGACAAGGAAAATGTTCTCTTATTTGCTATCGTGAGATGAGAAAACATGGTTTTAGCAACTGGTTGGGAGACGGGAGTGAGCATTGCATCATGAGGCAAGATGCAATGTATTCACACACACACACACACACACATTATGATACCTTACACTGTCTATACAGAGCAGAAGCTACCAATGCTAATCTTAGGCTAACAGGCTGACTCATGGATACCTGGTGGGCATGATTGTCTTGCAAACCACTAGCAAGATACTCTATAGTGTCGTGTACGAGTTTTTAGTATAACTAAACAATAACATGAATCCTACTTCACTGGATGCACCAACCACGTTAGTGTCGACAAAACTCATTTTACAATCAGTTATCATTCCAGAAATAAACATCATTCCATTTCATTAAACCACCCACTTATCTGCACAAAGGGTAAAACCCTTTTCATGAAAATCTAAAATTGACATGCATTTAGGTAAATTATTAGCTGGGATGCAAAAGCACGTTGTTACCTTGTCTTTCCTCTTCGTCTCTTTGCTTTGCATCTAGTTGTCGCTTTAAGCGCCTCTTCTCTTTCTTGATCAATGCCTTGTACTTCCTGTGGCTGCATTTGGACAGGTAAACTTTAAAACGTGCTACGACTGAACTTATATACATATGTGCGCCTGTGTGTGTGTGTGTGGGGGGGGGGCGTACGCACCTGCGGGCGCACGTGTACTGGGTAGAACTGAATTAATAAGCATCGTGTATGGTGTAGTACGGAAACATGCGTCTAAACAGAGGAATTGCTCCGACCTGTGATTGGAGGATAAAAATAGAATTCGTGACGTTTTGTTTCACCGGTCATATCCGCGCGTGTATAAGCCTATGAGCGATACCGCGCATGCATATTTGCTAATTAATTAGACTAATTGTGCTTCAATCGACTCAAAATTCACAGAGATTAAGGCTAAGACATGTGTCTATAATACTATTAATAGCTAGAATTTATAGAAATGTAACTCAAATCGTTCGCGCCATATGATAGTTACTACACGTTCCTACCGGTCATAGCCTAATAGCGTATGCAGCGGGAGTGGGCGGGGTCTATTTTTATACTTCAATCAAAGGTCGGAGCAATTCCTCTGTTTAGACGCATGTGTACGGAAAGGTTACAGTCCTATAGACCGAAGGTCCGATAGACCGAAGGTCCGATAGACCGAAGGTCCGATAGACCGAAGGCCCGATAGACCGAAGGCCCGATAGACCGAAGGTCCGATAGACCGAAGGTCCGATAGACCGAAGGTCCGATAGACCGAAGGCCCGATAGACCGAAGGTTTATTCAAATATGCAGTGGCTACACGTCCGGAATCGGTCGCCTAGCCTCCAGGCTACGCATCCAGACATCCACTGATGCCTTATTCGAACGTGAATATGCCGCACATCCACCGATGCCACTATAAATCATATGATGCCACTATAAATCATATGATGCCACTATAAACCATATATATGCCCTAAACCTAACCCTAACCCTTTGCAATATTCGGTCTATCGGACCTTCAGTCTATCGGACCTTCGGTCTAGAGGGATGACCCCGTACGGAAGTTAGTGCCGAAGGGGTAATAACACAAGCCGTCTTTCAGACACGCGGGAATAACATCACAATTTGATAAAAATCTATCTCTATAGTCGATACGACGGTGACGAGGAAAAAAAGTGAGCCTGGCGTTGATCACAATGCTTGTCTATTATAGTATTTCTAATACTATTAGTAATAGTATTACTATTAGTTAACTATTGCTACAGCCACAGCCACAGGCACAGGAACCTGGCTGGAATGTATTAACTATTATTAGGTATTAATTACGCTGTTTCGGTTCAAAACAAATATGGTATGTAAATGGTCTTTTTAACCGTGTAGATTACATTCATTCGTACTTGCATCTTTATTTATGCTTTGCCGACATCACAACGTTATAATATTACCTTAATTTTTCATTGCATTCAATTTTGACAACAAGTTTCGTGGGCGCCGCCATGACAGAAGTAGTCAACCTGCCATCTGTCGGTGGAATACATGTCATGGCGTGTGTTAGCTCTAGTACTATAGCTGAGAGGGTCTATGTCCCCCGGGGTACTGCCGGAACGTACCCTGGGTACG